AATACTGCTGTTCTGTTCTGTGGGGGACGTGTTATAGCGCCACACCTCTCACAGGTGTGCCCCTGCTGACCACTAGCTGTGGCTTCTGTAAACCGTACCACCATTATTCCTTTTCTCTCCTTGTTTCTTTCCCACACTCCCGTCTTACTTCCTCTCGAGCTCAGTGTTGTGATTCCCTCACCTCCAACACACATGTGTGTTTTTGCTCCAGCGGTACTCCCGAGAAAGTTGATAAAATAGCAAATATGCTGCAGAGATAACACTCCCACGCTAAGATGCGGGGAAGTAAAAGCACCGCTGACGAGAGCGGAATGGATAAAAACGAGCGGTGTGATCTCGCTGGGGAGATTTATCTGTCTCCTGACCTCAGCTGTCGCATTAGATAAATGGATCGCTGTCAAATGTGTGAGTAAGACGCTGAGGTTGTGAGTGACGATGAGCCAGTGTCAGTGGAAACTTACATCATGTTTGGCATTGCGTAGCATGAAATGAGATGGCACAGGCTACACATACCCAAATATTGTGATCAAAGTGTATCTATAGCATAGAATAAAGTAGTACTAAGATCCTAATTTTAAAAAACAAATTGCGACGAACTCAGTCAGTATGCTGCTTGATATTTGCTGACCTGTTAAGAAAGTTAATGCCGGCTTGTTTTTTTAGCTAAAGAATCAGTATTCTTCAACTGACACCGTACAGCCCTGCCCAGAATGTTATTTCAGTAGATGTGGACCTCGTCCCCTGTGTGTGCGTGTCGAACATCTGTCTCCATGTGCCTGCTGATGGGCCTCAAGCAGCCGTGGCCTTGAAGTGGCAGATGGTCATAGCGGCTCCCTCTGTGGGATTCAAACTCAGCTCAGTCTTCTCCGATTGCGCAGAAGCAAATGTACATCACTGCAGTCTCCCTACATACATTTGTCACCCCTGAGCTGCTTTTAGACTGCACCGATGATCCTGAGGTGCTTTTTTTGGATAACTAAGGAAGGTTATAAAAACATGGATAACATTTTCTTCCATGTGCTACCATCATGTGCAAGATGCTCTGTTTTTGTCTGGGTGTTTGTTTAGTGCTTTAGAGATTTTTGTCTAGCAAACTGCATCTGATTTCAGCACTCAGTAAGCTGTTTTCCCCCCCCCAACTGGAAACTCCATAGGCTCTCATCAGAGCCAGATATTCCATCTGTCCATCTGTTGCCTCCAAATCTTTCCATATTTCTCTCCTAATGCCATCTCTTTCCATCGCAGTTCTTAAAAGTGAACTCGGGGCAGCCTCTTAAGGGTGGCTGGACGTTGGAGTGACATAACATGTGCAGGCAGAGCTCAGATTGAAAACATGTGGAGATAAAGCCTCAATGAGATATCTGTGGCATGTCTGGGAAGCACGCATTGACACGAGCCCAAATAAAGCATTTGGTTTCTCTACTATGAAATCAGTTCCTTCCTGACTCAAACTGGGGCTTGGGCACACCTGAGTATTCAGGTCACAAGTGCATGCACAGTCATGTTAATAAGTTGTTTGTTTTTTATCATTATTAATGCAAGTGTATAAAATCAGAACATGCTTCGGGTGGATAAACAATAGAGTTCTCTATAAGTACACCAGGCACCTTTACAGTGGCGCCTGCTGTAGTAGCTCTTTCAGGGACCACATTTAGCCATGACTCGCAAGATAGAAGAAACACCATTCAATCTGTCACAGTCAGCTGGGATATAAAGCACTCCCAAACTTGGTTTCAAATCCAAAAGCTTGCAGATTTTTACACATTTATTTTGTTTATTGGGCTACTTGGGGTCAGCAGAAGAAGCACTGACACGTTATAACACTACACAGCTGCTTCATGTTCAGTGTTGTGTTTCTGTCACTGAATGGATGTAAGAAGAGTGTATATTTCTTTTTGCTCTTTGTTCACTTTCCACCAGCTCTAGAATGAAACATGTGGCTCTATATGCTTCATTAGCTACTATTATTCACTTTGTGAGTCCAAGCAGACAGAACACATTTGGATTTGAGACTTTTCTCATAGTGAGTGTGAGTTAAAACTGTAAAGTGATGAGATGTCCCGGCCCATCAGATTTTACTTATTTTCTTATCTTTCTTATCTTCCATGTTTCAGAGTTAGTTTTTTTGTCTTTTGGTTACTTTGTTACTTTGAAGTTCACTTTTCCTACCTTGTGATTTTCCCTGTTTGCTTGTTTCCTCCTGTGTCACATTTGCTCCCATGTCTAATTGCCAGTCATCTGTGGATGTATTCCTGTCTCATTATTAACTCACTGAACTTTACATTTCCTGGATGAGCCCAACAAAGACTTGACATTTGTTGTTCCGTCCTGCATTGATATTCCATTTGGAGAACCAAAACAATAACCTGCAAGCCTGAAAAAGGCTGTCAACCTCCTTTTAAAAGGAATAAGGGCTCAGGTGATAGCTTTTTGTGCATGTGTAACTACATACATCATGAATCCATATATATGTAAATGTTTTTAAGTTTTTATGAAGAATTAGGGCTGTTTAGACACATTCATTTCTAATTTTAATGATTATTACAATTTAAATATATGTCATTTTTTTCTGTTGATCAAAACAAATGTATTTAAATACTTTTTACATTTATTGTGGGAGGCTAATGAGAGCATTTTTTGTAATTGGGCGAAAAAATTCTTGTTTAGGTTTTCCCAAAAAAACACTCGCTGCACTGTCCGTTGGATTTCTTTTATCAGTCGCCACCCCACTTTTTATTCTCTTCCTTTAAGTCTTCATGATTCCACAGACAAAAGTCTGTCGAGGAAAGATGAATGACTAGCAGCTCAAAGCAAGACACCTTATGTTCTGTTTGGATCTGTATGAATGATGTTTTAGCCTGGCAGGCGTCTGGTGTGTACATGTAGATGGTTACTCCCTGCTGATCCACTGGTCTTTGATGTGAGCGTCTGTGCTTTGTCAGAGCTCCTGAGGCTGCCAGGAGAAATCTCTGAGATGTTGGTAGCTTTCTCTTTGTCTGTGAGAATCAATTGAAGTCTCTGGGTGTTCTGAGTTTGTATCTCTACATAACAAATATCGTATCTGAGAACTAGGCCCACTCACAGTCAGGATAATGAGTAAAAATATTAACTGAAAGTGGAACTGATTGGTGTCTTTTCGGAGGACTTTTCGCCCCAACATCTTGAAACAGCGATTATCTGGATAAAAGCTTAAGCAACAGCCAGTGTGCAGTGACTCTGTGTGCAGTACATGGAGGTCTGATAACAAACCAAACCACAGGAGTATAAAAGAAGTAAATTGAACAGTGTGTCTTTTCTGATGTAAACCGCCAACCTAAGTGTATCCAGCTACTTCTACTACATTAGTATTCGAAGCAGTAAATGGCAAGAAGCACATAACCGATTAATATTAGTTAAAAGAATTAAAGATTATAAAATAATATAATAATAAATAGCACATATAATGATTATTATTATTAAGTAATTTCTGCTTAAGATTCTTGAACCATCTATATTGTGATTACACTGCCCCTTAAATTTGTTTTTCATTTATGCACCTGTGCATATTTTGTGACATAAAACACCTAAGTATTGAGTAAAATGAGGAGTACCATAGTATCTGACCTTTGACCTGGGGGTGGAGCAATCCTTTCTAGTGCCAAATCTGGATGTGGCACAGTGCTAGCTACTGCTAAGACTACTAACATTTTTTATGTATGTTTGAATTGAAATGAGTATATTTAAGAAAATATGTGCATGTGCGAGAATATCTGAAGAATTACTTTTAGTTGATTAGAGACAGACTCTGATTTCCGAATCAGAATCTGTTTTATATTTTAGGGGTTTCTCCACTCCAAAACACCTGGTTCAAATGATCAGTCAGGCAGTTGCAGCCCAGCAGGACATTTGAAGGAGGTATGTTGGAGCAGGGATTGAGATCACTTTTTGAGAGCATTGATTGATGTGATGTGTAAGCAATCAAATCATGCACTAAAATGATAATGTACAAAGCTGCAGGAAATGAGCACAAGCAGCTTTCATAGGAGGATAAAATTTGATTGGACGGTTAGGGTCATAAGTACACTCCCTCGGTGAGGACAGCGAACTGGATGAGAGTGACAGCGAGTACAAGAGGGTCCCAGAATCAGGTCTGAGGTACAGTTAGGAGATCAGGGGTCAAACTCCCAAAAGAAAAGGGTGATTTTTTTTTCTCTGAAAAACAAAAATGCACGCTGTGTAGTTTTCTTTTCTTCATTGTTGTAGTTTTTTGTATTATTTTTATTCATTTATAGATTCTAACAATTACTGCTTACTATAGTAGTAGCTAGTAGTTAGTTAGCTAGTAGTTACAGTGTTACATTTAACTTTAGTCTTGTCTTTACTTTTGTCTTGTAATCCTAAAAATAAAGAAAACTGTAAATTACTTTTTAATATAAAGAATAATGAAAGCTTATATTAAACAAGGTTAACCTGTTAATTAGCTAGCTACAGCTTTTCACTTCTGCTGGATGCTGCGATCACACTGTTGGACGGATATGAGTGCTCTGGTTTCTAAAATCATTTGACATAAAGCGCCACTGTATCAAGAAATAATAAGAATTTTGAATTGTATCACTGCTATTACAGAAAACTGTATGTTCACAGTATAAAAAAAATTAAAAAGCCTGGAGCCTTCGTAGCTGTTTTGTTGAGTGTGACTGGGTTGAATTAAAATGGCTCATTTAACTTCTTCCCATACAACTCTACCGTAGGAGGAGGATGAGTCACCAGGGTTTATTAGAAAATAGGTTAAAGTTGAAGTTTTATTAGGTCTAGCATGTATACATCTGCATTCACAGGCTGCATTTTTGAACTGTTCTGGCCTGACTTTAATTGAAAGTGATAAGAAAGGCCTCTTCCTCATGCTTTGCAGGTTGCATTCAAGTGTCTAACTGACCTATTGGCTTCTCTTCCTGTTTGCCTCCTGCCCCCCCCCCCCATTTTATAATTTTTTTGTCTTCATATGGATCTCATTTGTGAGTGAACACAAAAGTCAGAGAAATACTGTGGCTGAGTGCACTGTTGGCTGAATGCACACAGTGCTGCTGTAAGCAATCCCAGGGCACTTTTCTCCCATCAGCCAGAAAGGTTAATCCATTAGTCAGACATCAAACCATCTGCTCAATCAGTCAGTTAACAAGCATCGAGGCAGCTATCTTTTACAGCAGTCTGATGTAACAGGATCTGTGTGTGTCATCGTTCATGGACCCCTTTTTAATAGAAACAAGCCTGATTACAATTTTAGAGTTTTACAAACTAAATAGCAAAACCTATTTATATTCAGTGTGCCATTTTATACACTAGTGAACAAATCCTGCACTTCAAAGGTTACGTATATATAAGCTATATAAGTAATTGTTTTCTTTAGGTATACTTGCATACATACTTATTCCTTCCCTCTCACCCAGCATATGCTACAATCTCCCAGCTGTTCTAGGGGGGATACTGAAACATTCCGAAATCAGCCAATAGACGTAATCTCTTCCTGTGTCTGCTGTGGGATATCTTCTCAGCTGGATGTACCCCAAGCACCTCACCTGTGACAGACACCCAAACCATTCCAGCTGTGCTCCGACCAAATAATCAAGCTCCATATCTATACGACTGAGCTCAGCTGTCAGTTCCTTGCTCCATTCATCCTTGACTCATATATAATGAGCTTCTCCACCTGAGGCAGCCACTCGTCCCCACACAGGAGCAGGCAATCCATCCTTTTCCTGCTGAGAACCATCATTTCAGACTTGGAGATGCTTATTTGCATCCCAGCTGTTTTGCACTTTGTGGCAAGTGGTCAATCAGGTCAGCATGACCACCCACATTCAGTCCCAAGCCCAGCGAGCTTGGCGCTGCAGCTAACTCCACCTAGAATTTCTATCCATAAATGTTCCCAACACATCCAGTAAAAATGGATGCAACCAAAATATGTAATTTACAAACCAAATTATAGAAATGCCATATTGTAGTTTATTATTAACATGGATAAATAAGTGTTAAACCAGTCTATTTTGAAGTGATGCTCACACAGCTGTATGTTACCCAAATGCTTAAAGTTATATATTTCAGATTTAAGAAATTGAAAATGCAAATCTTATTGAAGCTGATAGTGAAATGTTGGGCTTGGATGATTGAGAAGGTGCAGTGAGCCATGAAAACAGAGCGAGAAGGTGAGAGAAACTGAAACCAAGAGAGAAAGAGGAGAGAAACCCTGGGCAGCTCCACATCTTGTTATTTTAACCCAGATTCAGCACTGAAATATGGCCACCATGTGGACCCTTTCAGAAAGTTTGGATCTGCTGTCAGTCTAGCCAATCAGAGCAGATGCATTGGTCCAAGAGGAGGGACGGTGGGAGGGTCCTGGAGTCTCGAGCGTGAGGGAGGTTATTAAAGTGTGTGAGCAGAGGAGAGCAGGGGCACAGAGGCCGCATTTACAGGAGAGCTGGACTATCCACAAGCCAATGGAGACAGGTTGGACTATTGTCTCATTTCTCTTAATTTTCCTGATTTCATTTCCTGTTTAAACAACTGGGTTGACTCCTGGGGTAAACTAAATCTAAAGAACTGCCTTGCTGATGCAGTAAAATAGCATACCTTGGTCTTAATCACAGACTATTTATAGTGTTTCGGAGCTCCGGGATTCTGAGCAGATGTGCAGAAGTGGTGAGAAACAAACTCCTTTGTTAGTGACAGAAACTGTAATTTTCCTTAAATAAACAAAGGAAAGTCTTGAAATACAAAGAAAGACAGATGCTGTGCTTTCATTGCAACTTATTTACAGAGTTGACGTTGACCCAAATATTATATTTGTAAGACTGCTTGTCATCTTTTCACCATGTGGTTTATCTTGAATGGTTATTAGTTATTTAAGACCAATCACAGCCTGCATTCCCCCTCTGTAGCTGCGGGGGCTTCTCATTCAAACAGATCCTCACAGATAAAATCAGCACACGAGAGGTGTGGCTGGGAATGCAGGGAACCCAAAAAATAAACAGGATTTGTGATTTGTCACTATGGTGGCATTACCAGAATGACACCAGAGGGTTATAAGTGCTTTGTATTAATTGTATCTGATATTTTTGGCTCTTTCTTAATGAATAAACTCTTTAAATTTCTTTAGGCAGGTTGAAGCAGTGGTGGGATGGGATTTTAGTTGCAACAAGTCCATACAGTAGATATGTAGATTGCTTCCTGTCAGGGGCAGTGTGGAAAGGCGTTTCCTTCTGTTTTGCTGTTGTGATTAGGGAAAAGCTGAATGGATGCTCTCAGCAGGAGCCGTAGTGTTAAGCTTTTCAGGCCTATAAACAGCTTAGTTTTTTGGTTTACAATGAATGTCTCAACAACTACTGGGTAGATGGAGTTGTTTTCAGAGCCATTCATGACCCCATGACTTAGGTGAACATCTAAATTTTGCTTAAGTCCCATTATGAGTGGAATTATAATCTTGCCATGAAATTGGTGTCCACGAAATCCAGAGGATAAAAGTACTCCACAGAGTCAGCTAAACGTAATTGTAGTGGGAGACTGTTTCAAAGGGTTGGAAAGGAAGCCACACTGCTAAAGCTCAGTCCACACCTAGTCTTCAGGCTTGTACGTAGAATGACCAGCAGATTCTGAGATTCTCATAGAAAACTATGAGTAGCAGTGTGTTTGATATAAAGATGGACTAAATAGTTTAGTTCTTTGTAATGTGAACGTATTAATAGTCTGGCCGCAGCTTTCTGTATCGTTTGGATGCATGAAAGAGATCAATTGTTCAAGTTAGTAATCGTAATTGTGATGAATATGTTCCTCTAGTTCCACCAAAGATCAATTTAGAAATGTTCCTTAAATGAGAAAAACAGGAACAAGAAAGGTTTTTACATGAGAGTCAAACCCAGAGAGGAATCAGATATTTCTCCAAGTTTTCAAACAAAGGATTTACTGGTTAAACAAAATGAAGTTTTGTTGGTGTCTAAAACGAAGTAATTGATAGAGAGCCAATCATTAATCCTGGGTAAACGCTGGACTAGAGTGGACAACGTATCCAACTGGTGAGGCGTAAAAGACATACACAGCTGAATGTCATCAGCATAGAAAAGATAAGAAAAGACTGAATGATGCGAGCTGAAGGGAAGAAATGTAGAAATAAAATAGTATTGGTATTAATGGTTTCAAGAGGATGATGCTCAGTGACTTAAACAATCCATTAATCTTTTCTTCTAGCTACACCATGAGGTTTTTTTTGTGTTTTTTAGTGAAGTGTCTCCATAGCTTTGAGATTAAATGCTATGGAATTTAGTAGACATAATCAAGTTAAAATTTGGTTTGCGTCCAAGTGTAGTTTGGTCTAAATGTCATATGCAAGTATGCTAATGTGATTGTGTGTAGATTTGAAGGGCATTGGCATCGGCATCAGGAGCATTTTAGCATTAGCTTAGGAGTGTACCCTAAGCTAATGCAGCTGAGGCGTGTTCCTCTTTATTTGTTCATTTGTTTCAACAAGCACAATATTTAATGGCTGCAGGACAACTGAGATGAAACTCTGGAGAAGTTCCTTTTCTTTCTAACAGCTGGTTACTTGCTCACACTTTATGGGAGTATGTGTCAGATGCAGGGAGTCTTGTAGATGGGGATTAGTGTTGGGTGTCACTATCGTGGCGGGTGCAGTCTGAGGGCTGTTAACTCTTTTGTGTATGTAAACTGATCCTCAAATAATCCTCTATCTCCTGCCTGGTTACTCTGGGAGTATAAAAGACATCATAAATCCACCTCAAGCCTCACATTTATGGACTACCATGCTCCACTCTAGCTTGGGAAACCTGCGTTCTTCATACCTGCTCAAATCTGTCTGTCTGGGAACAGGAAGCAGATGTCTGGGTATATATTGTCACAAATACCAGGTGCATTAATTGAACCAGACTTGTTTAAGTACCCAAATTCAAAGAAACTTCACAGACATAGAAACCTGCTAGTTGCCTTTGTGCATCTGAGAGGCATGTGGTGCAGACACACTATGGCTGAGCAAGGTCAAAGTTTAAGGCTCAAGGTCTTCAAATACTTTCCAGCTGGTTTATATTTTTTTTTTTTGGCTCCAGTGTGTTTTCAACAATATTTCTGTCAGGGAAGAAATAGTCTTTGCAACTAGCTAGGAAATGTTTGACTAAATACTTTAGAGTCAAACATTAAATCTTAAATCTTTATGTCAGACATTATTCAAAACATCCCTGAGACATCATCAGTTTAAGGCCTGGGAAGAGTTCTTCAAAAAAGTGAACTGTATGAGTGTGCATATGTTCTCGCAATTGTTCACGGTGAAGCAACGAAAATGCTTGTGATTCATAAAACTAACTCTGGTCCAACTCCACTGAAGCAGCTCTCTGTGCCTGTTCTTACGATCTCATCTGCTTTACACAGTCCAAACATATTGTACGTCAGCTCACACACATACACAAGGACCACAGATCTGGCTCATTTTCTCCACTGGAAAAGACAGGGGGGTTGAGGAAGGCGAACCGCTGTTGATATCTCAACAGGGTGACAAAGATCAAAGTTTGTGATGTGCTCTTACACACACACACACACACATACTGAGTGTTACACAACGGGATGTAACCACAAGGGGACGAACGTCTGTCCCGACCCTCTCTGTAAGGGCACTCCAAGGGCTGGGCAATGGAAACCTCACAGTGCGGGCGGCACACGTGTCAACAGTGGCCCCCGGCTCCCTTTGCTGCTCTGCCAAACATTGGTTGGAGAATGACTAACAGACTCCCCAGAGGCAGCAGGGAAACCATGGCACAAAAAACCCTCAAAGAAAAGAAACAACTCTCAGCTTTAACCTAGAGCTGTATTTAGAACATGAGCACAAATACTTAAAAGCTCCTATATAAGCTCCTTTTAATCTTTTCTGGCGTTCCTGCTTACATTTGTTAAGACAAAAACTCTCTGTAGGTTATCTACAGGTTGACATTTTATCCATCTAGTCTTGAGACAGCCTTGGGTAGGGAAACCATTTTTTCTGTGTAGTAAAATGAATGAGATCTCTCACCCGAAAAGGGTTTTATTGCAGTGTAATTATGATATGTAAAAGGTTTGCAATAATATAAAACTTGGCGATAGCAGGAAGGAAGAACTTCTTTTTAACAGGAAGTTTACAGCTCATCTAAAAACGCTTTTGGAAATTGATAAATGGAGAATTCAATAGGAAAATTCAACTATCATTGCTAGTGGAAGAACAATCAGATTAATCCACTTACCGTAGTAGTAAGACCACATTATAAAGAATGACTATGAGTCTTGAATTCAAAATTATGAAGTGTATATAAGTTTTTTCAAGAGAACATATGCCACTTATAATAATCTATTAATGTGCATTAAACTAGTTCAAATTAGTTATAGCTTGTGATAAAGTATAGAGGGTTTCAAATGGAAACACCCATGCATGAGGTTTGGAGCTTGAGTAGCAGTGTATATTTCATCCGTGTGCTGTGCCAGATGTGCATTTGAGACCACCTGCTGCTTCCTGTTTGTATCATCTTTGATTCTACAGAATTGCTGCCACTGAGGTTATCAGTGGTTGTGTGATAGCCGGACGGCCGTTACGCTATCAGCCGTTGACTGACCCCAGGTCAGCTGTGTGGGCTGCTTGATGAGAGGCCTCGGGCTTGTTTTTCTCTTCGTCTGCATCCGCTCCTCATTCCTCTTTTTTCCAAGTCTATTTTAACCTTTCCCCTCTTCCCCCACAGCACACACACATATGCACAAACGAGCACAGGCATAGATAGAAATGTTCTGTTTTTCAACACTTTAAAATTTTGCTGCCTCAATCACAAAACTTTACAGGGAGTGCAGAGCCTGATCTGTGGCCTGATCACAAATCATTCAACATAAACACAGCGAATGAGGCCCACTTCAAACGAGCATGTCTCTTCACAACTCATTAGACCCCCCTCTTAAAGATCTACACCAGGAGCCTCCCTGCCTCTTTTCTCTGTTCCTTCTGCACACTCTTTTCATCCTCCACACTCCTGCTTTTGTAAAATATGATGGGAAACCGGGAGGCGTAACTCTGACCTGCACTTCCTCAAGCACAGCAGAAATGACTGATCATCTTCGAGCCTTTATATGTGCAATTAAAGCGCTAACCCTGTTCTTGTCCCTCCCTGTTTTATCTTTTAGGTGTGTTTGATGTGACGCCAGCGGGCTGGCTCAGGGAACACAACTTCAATACAATGTAGACACCAAAAACCAAGCACAATAAGAGTCTGAAGACCGCACCGACAGGAGGGTGAGCTCAAGGAGGAGGAACCTGCTGTACTGAGACAACACCAGGTTAAGATAAGGAGTGAGAGAAGTGGAGAGAAAAACAGAGAAGGAGCAGGCTGTGAATCATTGACGTGAACCTTTTGTGTACAGCGGTGTCACCTTCTTCTTCCTCTGAAGGGTTTTCACTCGCTCTCACGTCTTCGCTGCAGAAGGATCACAACCTTTGCTCTCTGTCTTTTGAGGACTTTCTATCCACAATCCAGCGTTTCATCTCTCAGCAAGTAAAGGTCTAAAATCGCAACAGAGGGAGCCATCCAGCCACCGTCAGCATGTGCCATGTTATTGTCACCTGTCGCTCCATGCTGTGGACTCTGCTGAGTATTGTTGCCGCGTTCGGAGAACTCATCGCCTTCATGAGCACCGACTGGCTCGTTGGATTCCCCCGTGCATCCGATGCAGTTTTCGGCCCCCATGGGGCCACCACAGCCGGAGAGGCTTACAGGCCCACTTTAGGCATCTATGGTCGCTGTATAAAACTGCCTCAACTGCGGGGAATACTGTGCGGACCGTACGCAGTCCACTTTGGAGAGATTGCCAGCGGGTTCTGGCAGGCTACTTCTATCTTCCTGGCTGCAGGGATCCTGTTGCTGTGTGCCGTGGCATTCATTTCCGTCTTCACCATGTGCTTTCAAAGCATCATGAAGAAGAGCATCTTTAATGTGTGCGGACTGCTGCAGGGAATTGCAGGTGAGATTCTCACACAATTTATATAAAACAGTTTTGATATTTAACACGACTTTGAAAGGTTTGGCGCCCATACTGGTTTTTGGTCAGATGCTCAAATTTGTCTGATGGATGGAGAGCTTTAGAAAAGCACACGCCTTTATGGGCAGTAGCTTTCCGAAAGTAACAATCTGACATCCACACTTTGGCAATGATTGACCAGATCTGGAGGTGAGAAAGTAAACGAGGTCTTAAACTGCCTTACTTTTCACATAAGTGATACAAAGAACATATAAGCCGTATTTAACAAATATTTGTCTGCTTTCTGTAATGCCTGGCTTTCAGTTTACCTTCAAAACACTGTGACTGAACGACTTTAATCTTCCTCGTGCTTGTTTTTCTCGTACCTAATGAGGAGTCAGTTTAGACTGAGGACATGGAGTTGAGAAATACGTGTTCAAGTTTTGTAATCTGAAAGAAAGTTTGTTCATCTGAACCGTATTGTTTCTGTTCATTCCTGCGGCGTCCACCGTTCATCAAGGTAAATGAAACGCTGTGCTCTCAGTTAAACACATTCATTATGAGCACCACAACTCCCACTGCTGGAATTATGTGTTTTATTCTTGTGGAGCCCTCAGTGAGTCTTAACCCAAGCACAAGTTTAAAGGGCATGGTGACTCTTTGTCATCAACTGGAACAACTACCGCCCAAATATTTATTCTTCACGCAGTCAGCTGGAGCTTTCTGACACTCCTCTGGTCTCCAAAGGGGTCGAGTACGCATGCGTATCTCTCTTTATGTGTGACGGCCGTACATTCTGTGTCTGTGCCTGTGCACATGAGGTCAGATCCCGGGCCACTTTGACTCGCTGTGGTGAATTATGGAAGGGAGGAGGCCATGAGATCATGCTCGCTGAACCTCATCTTTTTTTCACAGAGTGTAGCCTTCAGCTCTCCGGTGATTATGGCTGTCCTCCCCCACAGTTGTTTATTTGTGGGAGGCCCAAACAGAAACGGTGGGTGTGTAGACAAGGATAAGCCAAGCTGTACCCTCAGATCTATGCAGGCCTGCTGACCTGAGAGAGCAAAATCCATTCAGCCAGTGGGTGGCTCCTTTGAATGCATTTCTTTTCATTAAGATTAAGTTGCTCAATGTTTATTTAGGACAAAACATTCATTTACCAATGCCTCTATTCAGCGGCATAACCTTAACTCAGTGAGTTAATGTATAGGAGACAGATGACTCTTTGTCAGCTATCTTAAATTTATTATGCTGCTGATACTGAGAAACTAAACATAGATTTCTCTGGCTATTATAGGCCATATTGAACAAGCAGAAATCCTTCAAAATACTATTTGTAATGCCAGTCATTCTTTCTTTAGCTTTCTACATATGAGGAGGTGGCGGTGTGGCAGAACTACTTGATTTTATAATATACATAAAAGTCAGTCCTATACTATTTTCAGCTTGAAAATAAATGAACATTTCAAAGTCATCTTGAAAGCCTACAGAAATTAAAAAACAAAACAGAACTCCCTACTCCCAAGTACCTATTTGACCCATCACTAAGTCATACAGTGACTTGATCAGTTTAAATGAGTTTACCAATAAAATTTGTTGCAATTTGAAGTGATCGGGTGACAAGTAAGTTTGCTTCCTATTTTGGTAAAACAGCATTTGCTAGCAGGATTCAGGATTTGGCATTAAAGATTGTTTCCTGAGATCCTTGCATGTTGCTTTCCAGCTGATGTTCAGTTCAAACAGTTTTCAGTAACAGATTGAGGTTAGAGTAAATGCAAAATGAATGTCTGTTTCCATCCGCTGCCATTATGAGAAAGCCACATGTGTTTATAACTAGACTAGTTGTTGCAAGGAAACTCCAACTAAAGAGCCACTTTGGAAGTCAACAAGGAAGTGGTAATTAATAGACTCAAAAGAATTTTGGTGGGGTACACATTTAAGTAAGCAGTTGAACATTTGCTAAGCCGTACAGCGTCTCAGACTTCTTCTTTGGACATGTTCATATACACTTCAGAATAAGTTGGTCATATATCATTCAAACTTAGTTGCAATTTTTTTTAAAGTAGATAATAGCCTAATAGCCACCAAAGTAATGACAAGAAGTTTTTGGGTGCAGCGCTGTAAACCTGTTTGTGGCCAATTTCACGCTAGCAACTGCCAGGAAACACTCGCCAGCTTATCAGGGCATACACATTTTTACCTAGGGAATGCTAGTTGCCAGGGAGTCGCTCAATTTGTTCCCCATAACACACATTACTGACTAGCATGATAAACTACAGTTTACACTGAGAAGTATATTAATGATTGGATTGAATCCATTCATTTTACCTCTGTTTATGTTCCAAAGAGTGATGAAAAACAAACCATCCTCCACACTGAGCCCAGGTTGACGGTCATATGTCAGGTGATCTATAAAAGTGGATTCATGGCCCCACAAAGCACAGTGTTACATAACCGTAAAGTCCTCTATTTACATATTAAGACATTGGATTGCGGGAGACATGGTTGAGATAAAGAAAAGGGGAGAAATGCACCCCTGAGTTTCCTCTTTGTTGAGAGGATGAGGATGTGAAAGAGGAAAGGGGGCGAGGAAAGCATCAAACAGTTGAGGAGGCGGGAGAGTTTCTTTTGTGCTTCCGAAGCACTGTTTTCAGCCACAGGATGAGAAAGGAGATGGTCAACTGCATCGGTATCTTAACAGTGTCACTACTTCCTACATTAGTCAGCCATTGTGCTCTACAGCCTTCTACTCCACTTTTCACAAGGCCAGTGAATGATATCACAATCACTTGATATCCATCACCAAGGCTACCACACCGACTTTTCTACTATCATTATTTCCACAATGCGTGCCGACCCTCTGGTAATGAGAAAACTGGAGCCAGACGGCAGATGTTTGGGGAAATGATTGACCTCAGATAGGAAGATTGCGACTCTCTTGCCAGAGACGGTCACGTCATTACACTGGAGTGACTCCCAAACCTATTAACCTCGTCTTCACATTCGTTGATGTCACTTGGACTTTGTACTTCAGCCTCTGCAGTCTTTTTTTATACGACGCCTTTCTGATGGCAGCAGTGTCCCAGATGCAATTTAAACAGACAAATAGTTTAACCTGAGATGGTTTTGAGATTTCAGGAGAAGTTGAAGTCATTCCTTTCACCTTATGCAATCAGATAGCTAAAACAGACAGACTTCTGTTGAAGGTCAGCCGGGTTAAACTTTGCATCCTGCAGGCGCACACTTTAGGGGCCCTAAAGACTTGTTATACCCCAGTTAAACTTGCTGTACATTTACTAAAATGACTTACTCACTCATCGTCACTCAAGCTGAAAGGGATTACAGATAGAGCGGCAAACAAACAGGGCCATAAAACTGTCTCAGATTCTTGCACGTTCTGTGTCAAATACTTTTATTACCTTCCATAAACTTAAACAGGTTTAATCGGTGACTGTGACTAAGCTCCAGGCTGGAGGAGAAACAAAATAAAGCAGCGTCTTGCGGGAATTTAAGCTGTGCTGTTGAGTAATGATGACTCTCACACAAGATATCACGTTACATAAAAGAGGAAAGCAGACTTGTCAGCTCTGAATGATAAGAGATGCGATTCCCATGCACTGATTAGCTTTTCCTGTGGTTACAGCGGAGGTGTGGATGTTTCATAATGACGGTAAACAACTTTTAAAACCAAACTAACAACCTCTCTTACTGAAGACAGAACTGACAGTTTGGAAGTGAACAGAGACGCAAGCCAGTGCAGAGAGAATAGGGTGGAGCACACTGGGATATTAGGTTATAAGGTCCAGCTTGAAGGTGGAATGGGAATGAGTGTGTGTGTGTGTGTGTGGAGTGGGGGTCTTTGGAGGGGTGGGGTTGTGAATTAAAACCATGCCTTCAATCCATCAGCAGAGCCGGTCTGGCCGTTAGGGCAAGGCAGCAACATGTGGAAAGAATTTATGACCTAGTTTTCATTTCCCTGTTTAATACGATATTGGGTGCTTTAGAGAATGGGAGGAGGAAGAAAGAGGAAGAGAGATTAGAAGAGAAAAGGCATGTTCTCCTCCAGACTTGAAGCAGGCTACACGTGAGGTTTTTATGGAGCAAAGCTAACAGGACCTGCTCGTTGAAAGAGAGCTAAATCCTCGTTCCCTGTCTGGCTGTTTTATTGTCAGTAATTGTATTACTGTAAATGCTTCCTCCTGAGCTTTGATTGAAGGCAGACTCCTCGTCCGGCCATCTGACCTCGTCCGCTGTCATGGCAGAGCAGAGCAGAAGAAACGACGCAAACGCATTTAGAACGAAGGTTGCCTTTCCATCTATGAGACAAGCCGTGCGTGCCGAGGGGCTGAAGCCAAGCTGAAGAGGCAGAGTGGTAGAAGTGGGTCATGGTAACACAGGAAGCGACCCCCCTCCTCCTACAAAGACTCAGGACGCCGGAGGGTCGGCCAGTGACCGGGCCAGGCGGGAAAGTCCATCGGCTACTTTTATCCTGTTGATCTAGTCTCTGCTTTGTGCACAGGATTGAGAGGTCTTTCTGTCATACATCAGACAGGAAATCATTTCTGCCAGTTTAAACGTTTTCTTCTTCTTTGTGTCCCGATAGGATGCTTGAGCTGCCAGCACGCCGCTGCGGCCGGAAATGTTTTTTATTTTCAAAAAAATAATCTGCCCGAGTGTCTTGCAACAGTGACACTTTACTTTCACCGTCACCTACTTAGCACCTATGTGGCAAGCACTACTTAATACATGTTTAGAACACAGGAGGTCGTCTCGATGCACTGGTGAATCCACATTGAGTTTATGGAGTCACTGCTTTATCATGTCCTCTTTGATGGATTTTCTTGATGCCGTCCCCTAGATTTCATTTAAAAAGTCTTGATAAGAATGTGTCCAAACCTGCAGACGTCCCTCCTACCGTTGAAGCAACCCTGGCCGCTGCATAAACAGACGCAGTAAAACAAAGCTGTAATCATATTTAACCATATGTGATTAGAATCACGGACAAATACTGACAATGTGTTTATATATGTGCACGGATTTATAAACATGCAGACGAGATGACGTGGCGCTCCTCGGTTAATTGTTCACATTGAAAATAACGTTTCACTCAAAAGCCACTTGGTAGATTTTCCATGTGCATTCAGCTGCTTCTCGTGGATGAAGTTCAGCTGGCACAGAAGTATTTCTGATGCTTTTTTTTCCCTCTTTATTTATGTGTGTAGACATTTTTAAGATTGCAGCTGTTCTATATTGTAAAAGTCATCTGAGCAAGAGGCCTGAATGTTGGCCAAGATAAGGAGCTGTGCTGACGCTGTGTTTTGGGTGTTTTGGGTTTTCTTTGTAAAGAAAACTCATCTTTCTTGACGCCACTGTTACAGAGTGTTGTGCAGGCTAACTGCTATTCCTTCTGCTTGATACAAGCATGCCGTGAAAGCTAGTCTGTCTCTGAAATGAATCCACTCCTAAACTGTTGATATGATGTGTTCGCTTACTGACGTACATCATGACGTTACTGCTTAGCTTAGGAAATTTGGGATTTCCATCTGTAGCATGCAGGATTAAAATTAAAAAGCTGGTGAAAGCCTGCTTTGAGTTAAAAGCTCTTCTGCTGTTGAAGCGCACCGTATTTCAAGGTATAATAAGCACAGGGCTGCTACGTATGCTGGATTTCATTACAAACACTTGAGTTATGATGTCTTTTATTTGTTTCCCTTCTTGCAGGTCTGTTCCTGATCCTAGGTCTGATGCTGTACCCTGCTGGCTGGGGTTCAGACAAGGTCCAGCTGTACTGCGGACCAGACGCGGCGCCGTACCGCGCCGGTCTCTGCTCCATGGGCTGGGCCTTTTACACCGCCATGGGTGGCACTGTGCTCACCTTTGTCTGCGCTGTCTTCTCTGCTCAGGCTGAGATCGCCACCTCCAGCGATAAGGTTCAGGAGGAGATCGAGGAGGGCAAGAGCCTGATCTGCCTCCTGTGAAGCTCAGATAACACTTATTGTGCAGGTGGGGGGAGAGAAGAAGGATGAGGCAGAGATGTGCCACTTATGATCTGGCCCTCTTCTGCCTATTCAAAAATAAAAAAGCTGGCCTGTGAAATTGAGGGCCCATTCATTGTTTACCACTAATACTGACTCTTATTTTGTCTCAGTTTTCTGTTTGAAGTGGGAGAAACTTATAAGTGCCAAGTTTGTTTGTTTTATTTCTAAGTTTCTGTCTTTGTCTTTCTGCCACTAGAGGTGCTGTGTCTGTTATTGTATTCATTATAAGCATGTGGATGCCCTGCGAGGCATTGTCTGTTACCACATGTTCTGTAAATAAGCGTGATTATATATATTTTGTACATAGTTATGATCGCAGAATGATGGTCAGCTGGATCCAGGCTGGGCTGATGATGTCACTCTTGCCTTAAAAAAAAAAAACTATGAAAAAAAAACTTAAAAAAAATAAACCTGGATCTGTTAACTGTCAACAAGGGAACCACTAGTCAGTCAGAATAAACTGCTCATAAAAATAAATGGCCTTTAGCTCAGAGTGGATGTTCTTTAGAGCTTACAGAATGTACTATTTGATTAATTAATGTGTTTGTAGACGCTTGAAATGTATCGGTGGAAACGATTCTTCACATGGACTGCACAAGGACGAGCAAAGGAGGCTCTTCGGTGCATTTTGTTTGTCAAATCCTAACATGAAGTGGGCTTAATCCTAACCAGTTGACCTGTGAAGTGTCTGGTGCTCCTCAGCAGACATCCTGTAATCTGTGCACATGGACTGAATGATGAGGACACATAAATAAATGAAGTATTGCTGTTGTTAAGTAACGTCTGGTTCAGGGAGTGTGTCGAGTCATACAGAGTGTCCTATCTATTCCCATTTGTTTCTGCCAAACAAATAAAAAGAAGGAGGGGGGAAAAAATAAGTTTGGTTTCAGTTCTTATGCAGGGAGAGCCTTGCTGTGAGGAAGGGGGGAGAAGGAGGCCCAGCAAGTGGAGCAGCCAGCTTGAGACCTCGGTTTGGCCCTTGAGGTGGGGGTGGGTGCATTTTCCAACCAGTGGGTGATCAGTTTTTCCACTGATGCAGAACTCAGCTCTCCATGTGTGTACCTCATTTTCAATGGTGTAATGTAACTAAGTATATTTAGTGAAGTATAGCTTTGAAATACATGTTCTTTAGAACTCTGAGCTACTGAACTGCAGAAGAAAACAACATATTTTATACAGTTAAATAATAAACCAGTTTGATTAGCGTCTAGCTAGGATTCATTATCATGTACAGATCTATCATCTAAATTAATATTGTTTTGGTTATATATGGTATATTGGGTATTTTGTTGACAACTTGATTTTGTAAAACTATAGACTGTATGTAAAGGATGAATGTTGCCACCTTTGCATTACTTAGCCTTTTGTGAACTCCAGTTTGGAAGCCTTCAAATTGAGTATCTCCAGAAGTGGATATATTAGGTCAAGAGAGCAGATAATGAAGTTAAAAGCTAATATTAGCCACCTTGTTTATCAATAAGATTTCTTGAACAAGTTCTTAGCGCAAACTAATGCACAGTAAGCCATATTATTTGTGAGACGAGTGCATTAAAATGCTCCCAAAGGTAAAACACACAATGAAACATGTTCAAAAGGCCCAATTCAATGACTGGATTTAGCAAAAGTGACTACTAGCATTCAGTTAGCGACCTAGTCTGTACTTACCGTGTGCTTAATGCAAAAACCTTTCACTGCCTAAATGGACAACAACACATTTCTCACCTCTAGCGTCTGTTTGGCCCTTTTCCTCCCCCAGCACTGAATGCCAATACTTGCACTCAACCTGAGTGTATTTGGAGTTCCTTCCACAGATGTCCCGGCCTGTGGACTACAGAGAAGCTTCTAGCTCAACCCTGTGGCTCCCTTCCTCCACTTCAGACTTAGCTCAAACTAAACACAGTGCTTGATGACTTCCAGATTAGGCACATGACAAATAGTGCAATCTGAAGAGCACAGCAGAAAGTCAGGCCTGCTTTGCTGCCACAGGCTTTTACTTTTCGCTTCTCATTTTCCTTTTGAGTCAGGAAAAAAAAAAACTTAAAGAAAAGAGCCAGAACTTGTGAGCTTTGTTTCCTTTCAAACCAGGAAGAGGAAAATTTCAGTCTCGCATGTTGATAAGTCATGTTAGAGAGGGACTTACACATGATTGTATGAGAATCTGGTTCAAATTTAAAACTGAAAAAGCCTGGACTGATGTCAGATTTTACCTTGACACACACAAAAAACAGTTTTTATATCGATAATTGTTCCTGTCCCTATATGTAATGTTAATAAGGGTGGTTTGTAACGAGAAACCTCCCTCACTACTGCTTTACTCAGCTCCAAGAAGCTAATTAGTGACGTTCTGCTCATTGTTTTAATTTTTTGGAAATAATAACGCAACTGTAATCATCCAGGGGCAGCTGACAGTCAGAGGAAGCCCATGTGACAGCACGGACAGAGCAGCCAACAGCACATTGGGTTTTCACACACTCCTACGCAGATCTGTTTCAGACTCAGCAACTTGTCGCTGATGTTGGAGGACATCTTCAACTTCATAAAAGCGTTCAAGGGACTGGATGGAGATAATTTCAGCTAGTTTTTCTTTGAAAATTGTTGTTTAAAATCATCATCTATAAGAATTAAAAGACTTACAGGTGGGTATATTTTTTTAATTAAAGTGGTCAGCAACAATATTCAGGTAGGCTGTGGTTTACAGCAGGTCATCTTAACCAGGTCTAAATGCCTATATGCACTGCGTTGTTGCCATGTGGTCTAATGAAGTGGCCACTTGAGCAGCTAGCTGTCAGCCAGACCTATGTCAGTGCGAATTAGCATCTCAGTCTTTACTGAAGCTGAAGCAGAGGCGCAAATGTTACTTACATTTTTACACGTAGCAAAGGGGCTTATTTTGTCAATCACATAACAATGAACTGGTTTCCAGCAAACATTTAAAGACTCACAGATGAGCCATGTACACACAAAACCCAATTATTCTTTTTAATAATTATTATATTATTATAAACCCACTTTCTGTTGGGTCCAATTCTCTTATAAAGGTCAGAATTGTTTCAAATGTTTTTGTTTAGTAGACATATTTCTGCCCGTCTTTCAGTATATGTCGTTCATTGTAGTAAAACATTTGATGTGATTTGTCTTCCCCATTGTTTCACTTTTGATATACGAGTTTCCTTTTTATTTTCACAAAACATGTTATTAGATTTTCAGCATTTAAAAAGTTGAAACTTTGATCTCTGTCCGGAATGTTTTATTAATCCTAAATTGTTAAACAAAGTGAAACATTGTTCCTTTAGCCTCTTCATATTTAGTACTACACTGAGTGTTGTTATTTTATTGATAATCTTACAGTCTTTCTCAGATGTAGCCCCTTTCTTCTGCCTACCTACAGTTTGAACCTCTTAAATGAACTCAGATTAATTTTCTTGTAAAACAAAATCTGATGCTGTTGGCTGGAAGTCACTCTAGCCATATTTACTCTGAGGTGACTCTGATCTTTACATCCTTTGATAAATACTGACCTCATCTGGTTTTCGACAGATAGTGCAAGCTCATTTCCCCCCCTGCTTTTTTCCCAGCTTCAAGTCTTATTCTTGGAATCTGCTGAATAGTTTTGCTTGACTGAGGGTTAAAAATATCTAAACTTATTCCGGGCTTTTGTGCAACTTTAATGCAATGTTGTTGTTGTTTTTAAATCCAAAAAACATTTAAAGCTGTTGTTAGCTGGAGTGGATTTCAGTGGGGATGAATCCATCACTTGTCTCTTTGTGAGATAGTTGTTGTTTTTTTGTTTGTGAAATTCACAAACAGCTGACAAAAACAGGAAAAATTTTGAATGTTTGATAGGCTTTATTTATAATCCACAATCTGCGTACTTGTGGTTCACCATAAGCAGCAAGGTGGTGAAATGTTAACCTGCAGGATAAACCATTCACTTAAAGTCCCACTCAGGAAAACTAATAACCCACCACCTGGTCACCATACCTCCTCTAATATTATGGCATCATTCTCTTCTCTTTGGTTCCCTCTCAGTAACAAAAGGTTTGTGGGTGGGTGGGGATTCTGTACTCATAGCCAGTGCTCATGTTGTGCTTGAGTTGACATCATACAAAGTTTTTAAGGAAGTTTGGTACTTTTGGCTCACAGCTAATACTTTTAGCCAGTAGTTAATACTCATTATTTGAAAATTTGGTCATGCTTGATATATTAAGACATACTCTTCTTAGATGAGACCACATTTTTAGCACCTATGAAATTTGAAGTTTTTCATAATTTTTCCCAAATGCTTTTTTAACAGTGCAAAAGATTTTCAACATAGCTTTTCTAAATTCGTTTTCATTAGAAATCATAAATTAACAGAACTGACTACAAGAATTAAATTACTAGGGTCAATATTATTAGCCTCCTGAGAAATGGCTCTTTTATTGAGCCACAGCACAAACCACTGCTGTGCAATGATGAATTTTAACTTTGCAATGCTCAAAGCTGGTAAAACCAAGTTAAAACTGAGGGTTACCTTCCAATTTACACACAGTATAAAAACTTCAGCGAGGGTGTGAGCTGTCACTTGTCATCATGCCAAAAACAAAAGAAATGATTTTAGACTTCAGTTTAGAGAAAAAAATTCGTTGATGCTCGCAAAGCAAGAGATGGATGTACAAAGCTATCACAGCATTTCAAAGTGTCAAGAACTGAAGGGAGAAATTTCATCAAGAATCAAGAAAGAGTCGCACAGCACAGAACAAGTCTCGCAGAAGTAGGAAGCCAAAGATTTGAAAGACTTGGGAAAGAAAACTCATGAGAGATGAGTCTAAAGACCCCAGAACAACTGCTAAGACACGAGCGAATGACTTAGCCAAGTTGGGAATTACAGCCTCAAAAAAGATAGACACTTAAACCCTGCACAGTAATGAACTGTGAGCTTACAGACCAAGAAACACTCCACTTCTGAAGAAACAATGGAGAGGTGTAGAACCCAAAGTCACCATCATCACAGGGGTGAGAGTGTCATTGCTGTCAGGAAGGACTCATGAAGAAATTAAAGGCATGAGAAGATTCTGAAAGAAAACCGATCAGCATCAAAACTTGATCTGGGCCATTGCTGTGTCTTCCAACATAATAACGACCCAAAACATACGTTGGTCCTTGTGAGGAACTACCTCCAGAAGACCATTAAATCTGGAGAAGCTTGAGAGAATTACCAAAGAATGGACTGGGATTGACAAGACAATATAAGAAGGAAATAAAAAAAAATCCAAAATAAATTTAGGATGTTTGGAAAGGCTGTCTAATAATAATAATAATAATAATAATAATAATAATAATAATAATTCCTTGCTCTGTTTAACAGCATGGAAATTCTTACATTTTCATCTATATGCCTGTGTGTGACACAGAAGATAAGTATAATGGGTACCTTTTAACGTTTTTCTCTACAATGCAAATATGAGCATAATTTCATACAAAGAAGCCATGAAACACATATAGAAGAAGAATTTTATTCAGCGTTAATACAATAAATATACAAAACTCAAACTACTGGTCATGCAATTGTAGGTGAAACCTTAAAATTGCACAAACATTTAGAGCAGATAGTCTACCATTTGTAAACTGCACAAAACATACACACATCCCTTCATATTTCATCTCAAAAACATTGATATATATTAATATATATAAAATTTAAGAGATGTGGATCAGCATTTTAATTTTCATTGTTTTTCTACCACAATTCATGACTCTAAAGCACAGCTTGAAGCCACAGTCGGTCTACAGTACAACGCACAGTTCACATTGCATTGCAGCTTCATGTTTATATTAAAACTAACAGCAAAACCTGGAAGTGTACTGGCCCAAATTAAGCCAGTGTGTAGGGAGAAAAAAAAAAACAAAGAAATACAGAAAAGGCAAGAAGGAACCCACAGCCAGACTGTCCTGCACACACATTAAAATTTAAAGACCCAACTCCCTCCGTCCACACCCACCCACACACACACGCGCACACACACACACACACAAAATGCAAAATCAAGGAAAGTGCTTTGCAGTTTGAATAACACATAGAAAGACAGATTCAAAGACATTTTAGCAGGTGGAATTGTATTGTTAAATCTGATCACAAAAACGAGAGAGTAAAAGAACAGATGTGGTTGTAGTTTTGCGTGACTTCCAAAAAATTAAGAATACACAAGTGTCACAACACAACATCAACGTACTGGCCCCTTTTGTCAAATTTAAGTCACTTTTATTGTGATTACAACATACTGATACTGATTTACAAGACATACTTAAAACCAGAGGCCTGTCAAATTTTGTACAATCTTGTATAATATTTAACCTCGTCATGCAAGTGGAGAGCATCCTGAGTAAAGCTGAGGTAAATCTCCAGCACTGAAGGGAAGCTAGAGACGAATTACACTTTCCTTGCTGATAAATCGTGCAGCTGTGTGTATGGAGTAGTGGCTCTCTTTAGGAAAGGACACAAAATGGTAGGCTGAAGGTGAAAATCAAGCTGACTCAGCTAATGCAATAAAAAAAAGCAAGTTAAGCATCTAGACTACTGAGCAGGAAGGCCTGAGGGCACTGTTAGAAGTATCTGTACCGACTGCCAACGTCAGAGAAAGAACCCCAAGTCCAGATTTAAAATGCGACTTGCTGAGATATGCAGATCAATAGAAGCAGAAGATTTCAGTCAAATAAATACTTGACAATTACCTTTAAAGTGATACTCTAATATCAGACACTGTTTGTGGATTGTAGCTTTTGCAGAATGACAACCGCTGTCTGCTTAGATGGCAAAACAGTGCCATCAATCTGTGATCACAATCTACTTCTGTCCATCCCTGTACTAACGACGCAGACTATAAACGATGGCGTAGCCACTGTGATGTTGCCCACTGCTTTGTGAACTCTGAGTTTTGAAACTTGATTGTTAGCACTTCCACAGCGCCAAAGCTGGATTTGGAGCCAAAAGTGACCATATTTGGATGAAAGGGTGGAGTGGCTGATGTTAGCGAGCAAGTAAAGTTGTCGCGGCTCAACCCGTTTCTTGTTTAAAGCTACAAACACATTAATCTAATGGCTACACTTGGAGATTTTACATTGGGAATCTATAGGGGCTGACTCGCGTTTGGAGCGTTTTTGGCACTTCGGTGTGTTTCGGCCCCGGAAGTTGCCGTTTGCCTAAAATTGAAGGGTTAATTATTATTATTTTATTTCTTGCTTCATTCTAATTGTAATATTTCATTAATGACAGAAATATCTTCCTTCTGTTATTCACCAGTCTCCACCGGTGAGTGCTGATACTTGGGTAGGTAAGATTTCAGATGAGATATCACTTTAAGGAATTTCAGGCTAAATACTTTTTACATACCCAATTCTAAGTTGAGCGAAGAGAGTAGAAAGCAAAGCAGCGGAGTGGAATGCACAGCATTCATCTTCAGCAGTATAAAGTTACTCCATTGGGGGTCAGCAGTGTTAAACCATGCACTCATGAAAGAAGAAAGCACCGAAACAGATCAAATAATGCTGCTTTAACTCAAAGATAACTTCTTTTTGCCAGATAAATAAATAAATTCAGAAAGAGAAAGTGGTGATTAGGTTGATAAACACACAGAAAGCAAGCATCTGTTCATGGTGAGAAATGCCCAGGTAACTTCAAACAGTCGGTTCAGCTACATTAGAATCTGCCTGAAGACGAGCAGGCCTCAAGGACAGCAACAACATTTAAAAAAAAGGCACACAAACCTTCATTTAATTGGCCATACATCCACACAAACCCTGAAATCCACACAGAGACAAGAAAGTTGAGCACTCTAGTTAAAGGACTCCTAGAGTGCACGGTGTTGCAGGAGCAGGTAGACTGGGACAAGAGAGCCTGTTTGAAGGTTGAGAGGCTAAAGATTGTAGATGAGTGGATGTTCAGCTGTAGCACCCCCACAAAAACCCCTTCAGTAGTGTCAGAAAGATGGGGAGGAGGGCTGTAACTTGTTCAAACAAGGCAGTTATAAGTGGAAGCTGGATACAGAGGAGGGTCAGATGAGCGAGCTCTCTGCTTCAGACTTGCTCCTTGAAGGCTCCTTGTGCAGCCCTGGAAGCAGCATTAGCAGTGGCCGTTTGTACTGTTTTGTTAGACATGACGCCCGTGGCAAATTCCTGCTGTGCCTTCTCAAAACTGGCACCGGTGGTACGGTACATCCCATGGACCTGAGGGGAGAAGGAAAGGGGGACAAGAGGGAAAAATTAGGGCCTGAAGAGTCTGTAACAGACATCAACTCAGATATCTTATAGGCTGACTGTGCATTTACCTTTTTGAACATGATGAGAGACAGGACAGCCAGAGCGGTAAAGAGAGCAGCAACGAGGATCATTATAATGCCCACTGGGATGCTTTTATTCAGGCCAGTCAAAGCTGAGATCCACCCGCTAGGGATAAGAAAATCATTAACACACAACAACGACGTGACAACTAACCAGTCTCACTACCATCTCAGTCCTCTGAGAGAACTACTTGTTTAAAATGCTGTAGTTTACTTGGGTGAAGTCACACACCAGGAGCACTCAAACTACAGAGGGTAAAGCAAAGACCCGGCCTCCACACTACCTAGACCTAAAGGATGTGCCACCATAGACACTTACAGTGGCACAACAGGGACCTAGACAGTGTTATACATGTGGCATGTTGTAGCTGTTCACTGTAAATACTCACTAGACTAAATGTATATTCCAATAAATTTTTTTTTAAATGGTTATTAACTAATGCAGGATTTCCTCCTAAAAGCAAAACAAAAACTGCAAGAAAAAAAAAAAAAAAGACGACAAGAAGTTCAATATCTAATTAACACAAATATAGAAATATCACCCCCCCCCCCCCCCCCCCCCCCCCCCCCCCCCCCCCCCCCCCCCCCCCCCCCCCCCCCCCCCCCCCCCCCCCCCCCCCCCCCCCCCCCCCCCCCCCCCCCCCCCCCCTCCCCCCCCCCCCCCCCCCCCCCCCCCCCCCCCCCCCCCCCCCCCCCCCCCCCCCCCCCCCCCCCCCTCGCATTAACTGATCAGTTCATGAGATCTACGATATAGAGTACTGATACTTTTCTCAGTATAATACTAAGACCAAAATCTAGACTAAATGCAAAGCCAACCACCTCACTAAGTAACCCCAGATGTGTCTTTGTAACATCTGTCTTACCTAAAAATGTCATAAAAATACAGTGCTATGGAAATTTATTTTAAGTCGTGTTATCTTACCTGGCTCCCCAGCCAGCGATGCCAATAGACTGGATGACATAGATGCCAATCTGACAGACGTAAATGAAGAAGAAAATAAAGAACCTGAACGAGCTGTCGATCCTGTAGAAAGATGAAAGTGGAGGATATGAAGAGCACAGTGGGCACAGGAGGGTCATCGTGATTGTTGTACTTGTGGACACAATTTTGGATCATGTTGTTTACCTGAATGCAGCATAAAGCGGTCTGTACCAACAGACAAAAGAACACGGCGTGAAAAGCAGAAGCCAGAGGATCGACAAGCCAAAGTCCACACCTCGGTTTCCATCCACAGCAAACCAGGAGAGGCAGGCGATCAGGTTTGCAAGCAGAGTCCCAGTGTGCACTGAAAGGTCAAGAGAGAGAGAAAAAAAATACAGTAAATATGTGGAGGGGGACTTCGGCTTAAGTGTGACAGTGTGCCAGAACGGCTGTTTAAGTGTACATGCCAAAACATGGAAAATAAGCTGAAGGAGAAGTGTCCAATCAAGTCCTACCAAATCAAGCCTTGGATGGAAGAGGAGGAAACACTGAAACTTAATATTTAAACATGTAACACAGAGCAGGACTGGAAACAACATACGCACACACACGCGCACACAGTTAATAATTCATTACTATTTGCTCTCGAGGGCCTAACAGTGTCTGCAAAGTTAAAGGTATTACACATTCACTGAGTCAGTTTGACTGCAGGGATTTTACAGCACAGTGTGAAATATGACAATAGCCCGCTAGCTGACATAGCAGTGGTACCGAGACCCTTCACCTGAGCTTGAAAAAGATACAGCCGGTTGATTTAAAAATCAAAGTCTTTGTACTTATTAGTAAAAACGACTGAATTCTGTAAGCCAGCCTTATAGCAAATCATATGATCAAGCTGCTTCATCAGGTTGCAAGACTGCGGCACGTGCATTTGTCATGTGGCTACTGAATTCTACTTGAAGTCTTGACTCCACCCCCCACATACACCAACAGACAGTATTTTTCACCATCAGGAGCTATGAGGTTTTGACTCGGGGAGTTGGTGGATTAAACTACTCAGGACTGCTTTAAATGAGTCATCTGGAACAGCAGATTATCAGCTCATTAACAATTTCATTATTTCAGCAGATGTGGTTCTACGTGTTTGCACGTATGAACGTAGTTTAGAATGCAGTTTGCTAAAAAAGTTTGCTAGTATTAGCTGATAATTTAGCACAAATGTTTAATGCAAACAAGGCCACTTCATTGGCAAGTGCAGAATCAATGGGTGATCTCACAGTGTCTAAGTTCATCTTTTAGATACAGTCTGTGGGGAACATGCATAAAACTATGTATGCAAGCAGGAATAAAAATGCAGATGCTATCTTTTTATCAGATACGCAAGTTTATAGTCATTTCGAGTCCTTTCTTTAGTTGTAAATGGATACACACATCCTCTCTTGTCATTTTGCACAAAAAAAAAAAGGAAAAAAGAAAAAAGGAACTAAAGAGCATGAGTAATCTGAGCTGCAGTGGCCGTCCCTGTAAGTATAAGTAGGCCACAGGTGATGCACTACTTATAGCCTAGCTCTGAAATCCAGAGGATAAAAAACTCCAGACTTGGTACAAGACAGCAAATTTCTTCTGTCAATTTTAAGAAAAAGTTTACTTACACATCCAGAGGTAGTACATGATTTTGACTGTCTTCTGAAACTCTACGGGAATGTCTACAGTAATATCGTGGTAGAAACATGGAGCCACAGGAAACCTCTCTGGGAGAGGAGGCCAGTTGTTTTTCCTGCCTACAATAGCAGGAAAAAAAAAAATCAAGTCAAGCTTGTGAGTTACTTCAACATCTTTTTGAAAGTGTCGCTCAGGTTTTACGTGCTGCTCTTCTGTCAGATGACAGTTAGCAGTTACTGAGTGCAAATTCAGTAACCGGTTATTTTTTGTGTGCATGAGAATTAACATTTAAATTAACATGTAGTCATTGCTTGGCATATAATGAGCCAGTCTGTGGATTTATAAGCGTCATCATTATCTGTAATGCTTTGCTATGACAGCACTGATCTGTGGCTGTGTTGTGATGACATACTAACCCCCAGATACGTTGATTGACTGCATCTCTCGCTCCCGGCGGTCCAGCTCTGCAGCCTTATTTTCCAGCTCTTCCTGTCTCCTTAGCAGCTCAGCAGCTGCCTGCGACTGCTCCTGCAAACACACACAAACAAATGTCAACACATTGGAAATAGTACACAAACTTTTTGGCCAATTACTTTCCCCCTCCCTGCTCACTAGAAATGCTCCATTTCTACTTTTGGAATAAATCCAATTCTCTGCAGAGACAGCACCAGCAGGAGAACAGACATCATAACAACACATTCCCCAGAGTCTGCTTCACAAACGAGATGCTCAATCTCAAGTTATTTCCTCCACCAACCACGATTTCCCTCTGACTCTGTGTCTACTTCTGCTACAAAGGCCAATCACAGATAGAGGCGGTCTCCCGCAGAGCCACTTTTCTGTCCACAAACTCAGTGTGAAATCAGCCGTGGTGTTAATACATTTTCTCTCAGTCTCTGCTGGTGTTGCTGGACTAAAACAATAGATGCACCACAATCTGCTTGCTCATGGTGACACGTAACGCTCTCACCTCAGTTCCAATAGCTTTGGTAACTCAATCAGCATTTCTTTGTGTAAAAATAAGAATGCCTTTGTATAATCTGAAAAGAAAGTGGCAGAAACTACAGCAGCAGCTGTAAGCATAGCCAAAAGTTCTACTGAAATAACTGCTGTTATTTGGCTGTATACCATCAACACATATACCTGTGGTTGAGCTTGTGAGTAGGCTGGGGGCTCCTCTGTGGGTTTCATGATGGCTGGCTGAGTGCTGACAGCAGGGCCTGTAGTCTTGGGGGCCATACTTGCAGGTGTCTATAAAGTACACATGGTTAGAGCAAAACTACATGATTCCTATAACTGCTAATGATGTGACCTCACAGTTAATCAGGTTTGTATTGCAATACTCAAAACACAACTAAATCTCATATTTTATTAGAGCATTAATAAAGATGCACAGCAAAAAAATAAAAAAATAAAAACAAATGAAAGCAACAAACGGTGAAGAACACATGTATGAAAAAAAAAAGTACAATACAAATTTGTGAAATTGATGAGGTTGTACTGTAGAGAGAGAGAAGCCTGTGTAAGCTCTTAAGAGAAACAAAAATGTTTGAGCCAAGCTAAGCAGTGATACAATATCCATGCTCAAAGATCTAGTGCCCAACCTTCACGAAGCTTCAATAAGCTAAACTGACCACAATACTTCAGTCTCTTGGCTTCCAAACTTTTTATTGAAACAGTCTTCTTACAGCCCTTTGTCACTGATAAAGTTGCTTCTCAGATGGATTCAGTCAAATAACATTTAGATGGCTGAAAATGATTACACTGATGCAGTCACATATCTTGCGACTGCTGAAAGCGATCTTGAATTCCAAGGTGGGAACCACTGCTCAATGTTAGGATTTAGTCTTATGTAACTGCATGTGTGTATGTGCTAAGATATGTGCAGTTGGAAGGCACAAAACAACAGTGGCTCCTCCTGTAGGCAGTGAAGCTATCGAAGAATGGCTGAGCCTGTTGGGCTGCAAGGGTAAAGGCTTAATAATCGGGGTCTTGCCAATGGACCCTAACCCAAGATCTGAAGGATTCCTAGTATTCCTCTCCCGGGGAGGATAACAGAGGTCCCAACTTTCTTACCCATCGCCATCTTTTGAATACTTTGCTACTGGAGACCCTACCAGGGGCAAGTCAAAACTCCACCTCAATAAGGTGGCAATTCTTAGAGTGGAAGCTTTCAGGACACATGTCTTGGTGGCTTTAGGAGCTGAGCATGTGAACCA